GGTGCAAACCCAATGAGATGACAGTTACCGTTCTGTTTTCTGGGCCAGTTAGGGTCACAATAACTGTTCCTGGTGGTCCAGGGGGTCCCATTAATCCTTTAACACCCTAAAGACAAACATAGTCAGGAATGAGAAACTAAACGTCATCAGCATCTCAACTTTGCTGTGTTCCAAAGATCTGCTTCCCCCCTTCAGTTCTTATGCAGGAAGATAGAACAGTAACAACACATGAATTTCAACTTGGCTAATGAATAGATGGCATAGACTGATAAGCTCTAGAACTTAAAATATCTTGTCCACCAACAAAGCATAGCATTGAATTACCCGCTCTCCTTTTTGTCCTATTACATTGTCACCCATATGACCCTGTAAGAAAACACAAAATCGAATTATTAAAAAATATATAGACAGATAGATAGACAGACAGATGGATGGATGGATAGACCAATCGATAGCCTAAATCCACTGAAGTTCCAAGAATTGTAATTGAGCAATTATATATATATACATATATATATATATATTTTTTTTTTTGGAAATAGAGCCTCAAGCTGTCCCCCTGGGTAGAGTGCCGTGGCATCACTCACAGCAATCTCCAACTCCTGGGCTCAAGAGAGTCTCCTGCCTCAGCCTCCCAAGTAGCTGGGACCACAGGCGCCCGCCACAATGCCCAGCTATTTTTTGGTTGCAGCCGTCATTGTTGTTTGGCAGGCCTGGGCTGGATTCGAACCTGCCACCTTAGGTGTATGTGGCTGGCGCCTTAGCCACTTGAGCCACAGGCGCCGAGCCAAGCAATTATATTTTAATCTTCATTTTAGAATCATAGAAGTCTTTTGAGTTATTTCTTGGAGTAGAACATCAATATGTTTCTTTTAAAGGAGGAGATTCCCGGGGCAGAAAACTGAAGCGATTTACTTAATGTGGTGAATGATGACTCGGGTGGTGTGGGGGTAGGAACGAGGGTCCAGCTCAGAGCACATTTTTTTTTCTGACTTGGCCAGTAGCTGGTTTTGATCTCATTGGCTGGGCACTGAACCTACTAATGCTCTTGGTTTCTCATCTTAAAAAGAAGAAGGATGAGTAACTGAACTTTAGGATTCTGAAATTTAAAAGTTAATAGAGAATCTAATGATAGAGTCCAACCACCTGGCTCTAGCGAGAATTCAGTGACATGAGGTAAGTCTAATCATGCAGGGGTCCTCAAACTTTTTAACTAGGGGGCCAGTTCACTGTCCCTCAGACCGTTGGAGGGCCGGACTGTGGGCTCCGGGACGAGTCGGCTGCTAAGCAGGATAGGCAGTGGCGGCAAAAACACCCCGTGAACCGGATAAATGTCCTAGGTGGGCTGCATGTGGTAATGTAAACACCTGGTAATGTGAACAGTTTCTCTTCACTAATCACGCCTATACCCGCTTGCTTTCTTGCTCTCAAGTATGGAGCTCTTCCCATCACTAGCCTGAAAGCTGTAGGCATCAAAACACTTTAAAGCTCAGCTCAATTCACTTAATCCGGACCTCTCCATCTCTCAGGATGTGGTGTGTGCATCAAAACTCCTGTGAATGCACCTGGGAAGTCCCCTGTGTGTGAGGCCACCTGCTAGTAAGTAAGGAATACTGCGGTTAGCACTGGTTTCCTGGTGGGGCCCGCCTCACTTGGCATTTTTATACTTAAATTCATAATTGGTCTGTTAAGTAGAAACTCACACTCTCACATAAATAAGCATCTTTCATTTGCTACATGAAATCATGTTAGTTTTATGACACAACCCAGCTAAAAACAGTTCACAGGAGCATGTCTTGGGTGATCAGTAAGATTATCACAAATGCAAAACCCATAGATTAAGAACCCTTGTGGTGTTTTTTTTTTTTTTTTTTTCCCTGATGAGGCGCTCCTTATGACTGAATCAAAACTCTTTGTATCAGAGATTGAGCTGGTGAAATGCCGGAGCAGGGAGGGAAGGGCTGCTGGCTCAGCTCCCTCCCTGCTGGGAAGCCTTGTGAGTTCCACGGAGGTGCCTGACTATGGCCCACGTCAGACCAGGTTTGGTTTGGGGCATTGCTCCCCGTGTTCTAGCTGATACACACAGGAGCTGTGATCTACCTTAGGTCCTGGAGATCCCCCGGCTCCCGGAAAGCCCTAAAAAAATTCACAAATGAAAATTACACAAGTGAAAATGCACCCAGCCAGAAAACGCTTCTTAAAACTTGCTAGAATTAATCAATGAGTTTACAGAGTCTATAGACGGTGACTTCATACTCACAAAGATTCCTGGGGGGCCAGGTGGGCCAATAGGCCCGGGAAGACCCGGAGGGCCTGGCAAACCCTTTAAATTAAGAGAAGAATAAGAAGAAGTTGAAATTTATTTCTTGCCTAAGAACAATGTCCATTGATTAAATGCATCCAAATGTTTTAATACAATCAGAAGAGCACAAAGCTGCCTTTTAAGAGGCCGCTGTTAATTATAATAAATGCCCCGAAGTGTGCTGCTCTGAGTAGCAGGCTGCCAGGACCTTCCTCATGATCCTGCTTCCAGGAAAATGATCAGGGCAGTTGCTTTACGTTAGAAGTTTTCAAAACCGTGCTTTCCTTGCTCTTTGTTTCTCCTTCATTCTCCCTCTCTCTCTCTTTTGGCCAAGCATGATCCTACCTTAGGACTTCCCCCCTGCTCTCCGTCTGCCCCATCCGCTTTCCCCAGATACCTACCCAGCTCACGTCCTCCCCCTCTTCTCTATATGCAATTGCCATCCTTTCCATAGGCCTTTCCTGCTCGCCCAAAGTTGTAACCCACCTTCCAATCCAGACGCTTCCCATCCTGCCTTCCCTGCCTTACTTTATCCTAACATACCATTGAGTTACTAAGTTATACTTTCTTTCATTTCCTCTGCTAGACTGTAAACTCTATGAGGGCAAGAATATTTTAAAGAGTTTTTTTAGCAGATGTGTGCCCTGCTACATACCTTGAGCCTAGGAACAGCCCCTGGTACATAATGGGCACGTAAACAATATTTCTTTTCTGAATGAATGTCCGTGCCATCATTACATCCTCAGCACTATCACAGTGACTAGTACGTAGACGATGATCAATATACATCTAAGGAATGTGCCGAGTCCTGGGTGACTACTAACCCCTCTTCCTGGACTCTCTGCCTTCAGCATCTGAATTCATAAATAATGTTTCCTAAGCAAAAAGGTGAAAGCCTTCACATCCTGAATCTTGTCACAGAAGCCTGCAGCGGCTCCTCTCTGCAACCCTCGGTATTTCTGCAGTGCTCAGCTGTTGGCATGCTCGCCCTACAGGAGTCCAGCAACCTCAATTCCAAGTCTGACTCACTTAGGCCAAGACCCCATCTCTACTCTGGAATGTCCACATATGATTCTGAACCAAGTTAAAGCTAATTAATTGACCTGAAAATTAGTACATGTGGCTTAGGTCTGCCAAAGGGCCCTTTAAAATCACACAGAGCCCCAAAGGTCGCTGTGTCTCTCCGCATCCCTTCTGAATGAGCCTTAGGTGACACACATCTAGATCAGAAAAGCAAACTATTTGATAAAAGAAAGTGGCATTGAAATAAAACCCTTTTATTTACCATCATGCAAATTTAAAAGTACAGCTGTTATTTAACATTACAATTTTAAATGATATAAATGTGTGATACAAATCCATCCTTAATTTTAACACATATAGATTAAGTGGAACATAATTATTCCCTGAATCCTCCTGAGATTCAAGAAATCTTGGGTGACTAAGAGTTAAAGAAGAGAATAAGAGACACATATTCCAAATCATCTTTATCTATACGCATCATGTAGTTGCTTGTAATAAGGTGAATGCTTTAGAATGACATGAGACAGACATGTAAATAGAATAAAGGAAATGTCTATTTAAAATGTCCTCAAGAGAATGAGAAAAACGTGTGGGGCAGAGAAAGCACGAGAGACAGGGCTCCTCTCTGAAGTTTCATACCTGGGATCCCGGAGGCCCTGGCAACCCGGGGTCACCTTTTGCATTAAGTTCTATATCTTCTTCCTTAGCAGGAGCGCCCTTGAAAATAAAGAAGTTCATCAAACGTCATCAATGTTATATTTTCAAAACCCTTCAAATGCTAATTCAGGGTCATACTGCTTCAAGGATAAAAGTGCTTTCTGCGATATATACATAGAGAAATTATTTAGGATTCTGTATTTATTCTGCTATGAAAAATTCAAAGCATTTTCATGTTGTCTAGAGTTGAAATTCTACTGTGGAAGAAAGAAAGAGGCAGGGATAATAAAATCACTTCCTAAGACACCCAAATTAGTGGCAATCCCTGACCTAGCATGTGGGGTTCCGGGCATTCGTCCTCGACCCTATTTCCTTAAAGGATGATACAAAACCTGTATCCTTAAGACCCATTTCCGATAAGAGCCACAAGGACGTCTTCAGTAGGAATAAATTCATGGCCCACGTATTAGGATTTCTGAATGAATAAGGTCTGGATTATAAAATGCAATCTGTAATGACTCACACCTCATTGTTCCATAGAAGGGAAGACATCCTTTTCATTCGTACAATTCTGCCAGGGACTTACCTTTTGTCCTTTTAAACCAGCAGCACCCTAGGAAAAAGCAGGATGTTAACATCTGGACACGCTTATTCCGTCCTTCTCTCTGCTGTTCCATATCCTTCCTCCCTCCTCACACTTCCCACTACTTTTCCACAAGCTCAAGTCTCCAGTATTTAAACAACATCTCCCCTTAATCTTATACCCCATCTCCCTATTGCCCTGTCTCACCTTCATCTCGACTTCCCATTCTGTTCCTCTCCCACTCATTCCTCAGTTCTGAATCTGCCTCCTGGCTCCATCCTGCCCTGGAAGGATCTATCCCTTGCTAAGGTCAGAAAGGCCAATGCCAACATGTCAGTCTTCATCTCGCCGGACTTTTCAGCAGCACAGGCATCTGTCTGTCTCCCTTCTACTGACATAGATCTCTCCTGGGCTTCCATAACACACCTGTCCTGGATTTTTTTCTACCACCTGGGATCCTTCTCCTTTACAGGCTCATTCTCCTTGAACTAGGTGTTACCCAGCTGCTGTGCCTCTGTTCTAAGCCCCCTTTCTCCTCACTCTCATTTCACTCCTGGGGTCACCACAAGCCTGGGACTCTCCTCTGAGCAAATCCAAGGGTCTCTTGTGCATGTGCACTTGGGTGAGTCAAAGTCTCAAGGCCCTAACCTGAGCTCACGGTGTGTGTGCTCACCCATTCCCTGTTAGTAGAATATCGGTTGCTGGCTGCCTTTGACGTCACCAAGGTCATGGCACATTTTGCACATGGTCACTTGGTGTAGACTACTTTTATTCATGCCATGTGTCTACCTACCGGGATCCCTGGGTAGCCCGGTGTCCCTGGAAGTCCTGGAAGCCCTTGCTCACCCTAGAAGATACAGAAAGATTTTCTCATTATTCTCAGCTGACGTAGAATAGCCTATTCAGATATTCCCCTTGTTCCTCTTTGCCAGCCTCGCGGTGATAAATCTAGACAAAGTAACCCAAATTCCTTATGGCTACTAGGTCATGAGGCAGAACACCAGAAAACCATTAACTTAATTAAAAACAGGATTAGAATACTGTTTCTCAAATTGTGCATAAATGGCAGAGTCTAATTACGCCAAGAACTTTTTAATTGCTGCTTCTTTCAAACTTTAGTAATTAGTTCATTCATAGCCACCATTCCGGGGAAAAGGAGAGCCAGGGAGAGAACAAAGGAGGTGAGCAAACATTGAAAACAGCAGTCCTTGCTTTCCAAAGACTAACTTCTCACTCAAGCCTCTACTCTGTGATTCATACTCACAGCCTCAGATGAAAAACCAGTCGAGCCCCCAGTTAGCTTTCATGGGAGAACTTTTTAAAAAGACACTTAGAGAACGAGGAATAAGAAGAGAGAAAATGGGAAGTTCCTGGTTCCAAACCACATTGTGGGTCCTGGTCAAAGGAAAGTTTCAAGGAGAGCCTATTTCTATCTCATTCCTATCTCGCCTTGATGTATTCATTCAGCAAAGCATTTATTAATCGTCTTCTCTGCAAAACCTCCATACCTTCGAACCATTGCATCCCGGTAACCCAGCAAGTCCGTGAGGGCCGGCGGTGCCCGGGCTGCCCTGGAAGGAGAACAGTGTCAGTGAGGAAGCGTCATCACAAGGAAAGGGGGGCTTATTTAAACAGCAACCGAAATGTAAAGGTGGTTGTTTAAATAGTTCAGTCGTAAATTTAAGTCATTTTAGATATAACTTCCATACCATAGCAAACAAAACAGGCAGATTAAAATGAAGACTTAACGAGTGAGATGTGGATATCCCAGATAAAAGAAATAGCCTGTCTGCATAAAGTGAAATCCCATAACACGCTGTTTTAAGCCAAGGAAAAAAGAAGGGAAAAAGAAGAGGAAAGCGTGCACAGAGGTAATTATTATGTTATTCTATGCTATTAAGCAGGATCCTTCTAGTCTAGTCTACCCATTGCATTCCTTTTCATCCCCCCACCCCTTTTTTCTTGAGAGTCTCACTATGTCACCCTTGGTAGAATACCGCAGCATCGGCTCGGCGCCTGTGGCTCAAGTGACTAAGGCACCAGCCACATACACCTAAGGCCCACCAAAACAATGACGGCTGCAACCAAAAAATAGCCAGGAGTTGTGGTGGGCACCTGTGGTCCCAGCTACTTGGGAGGCAGAGGCAGGAGACTCGCTTGAGCCCAGGAGCTGGAAGTTGCTGTGAGCTGTGATGCTACAGCACTCTATCCAGGGGGATAGCTTGAGGCTCTGTCTCAAAAAAAAAAAAAAAGAATACCGTGGCATCACAGCTCACAGCAACCTCAGACTCTTGGGCTTAAGTGATTCTCCTGCTTCAGCCTCCCAAGTAGCTGGGACTACAGGTGCCCACTACAGTGCCCGGCTATTTTTCTTTTGTGGCAGTTGTCATTGTTTGCAGGCCTGGGCTGGGTTCAAACCCACTAGCTCTGGTGTATGTGGCTGGTGCCCTAGCCGCTGAGCTACAGGAGCCAAGCCTTTCCTTTTTTTTGAACCAGAGTCTCACTCTGTCACACTGGGTAGAGTACCATGACATCATCACTCACAGCAAGCCGTAGTCTTGCCTCAGCCTCCTAAGTAGCTGGGACTACAGGCGCCCACCACAACAGCTGGCTAGTTTTTCTATTTTTAGTAGAGATCTTGCTCTTTCTCAGGCTGGTCTCAAATTCCTGAGTTCAAGCAATCCACTTGCCTCAGCCTCCCAAAGTGCTAGGATTATAGGCATGAGCCACCGTGCCTGGCTTATCTATTGCATTCTTATTCTATTCTATTCTATTCCGTTCTATACTTTTCTATTTTCTTATGCTTATATTTCAGAAAATATGATTTGGTGCACACGTCATATAAATCCACACTCTACAATATGCATTGTTATGGTGCCATTTTCTTTATGTAACAAATGTATCCAAACACATTTCCACTAAAGCATTGCTACCATTTTTCATATCTCTATTAAACATGAGCTTACTTCTAATTTTTCCAGCTGTTCATTTTCCCACTACTTACTGGAAGTCCAGGAGGACCAGAAAACCCCGGTAATCCAGTTAATCCCTGAAGACACAGAAAAGACAGGACACTTTAAAATTGTTCAACCTATAAACATAAATTTACCTTTGCAATTAATGTCTTTCTGCAACTGTAATTGGGAATAGCTCAAAAGGACTGGAAAAACCAAAAAAGGTTTAACAAACCCTCCTAAATCTCACACTTACATAACTTTTCATTAAGAAATCATTACGATTGTTTTTGGCTTTTTGGCTACATTTCTAAGCTATAATTTGCATGGAGTAAAGTGCTTCGATCTTCTGTGAACAGCTTAGAGAATGTTTACTTACGCGCACTTTTGTGTTACCAGGTTCCCATGAGACGCAGCATCTCCACCACTCCCAAAGGTTCCCACATGCCCTTTCTGGGTCAGTTGACACCTGCCCTTACTGTGCTAACCACTATTTTGATCCCCCCACCACAAATTAGTTTTATTTGTTCTTAAACTTCATCTGTGGAACCATACACGCTCCTTTCTGACATCTGCATAACTCTTAGAATGCAAAGTTGATCATTTTAAAAATAAAAATATTATCAACCAATCAGGACAGATTGGATGGACTACTAACCCTCACACCTTTGGGACCAGTGAGTCCTGGAAGTCCTGGAGAGCCCTAGTTGGCAGAAAAAAAAAAAAAAAAGAAAAGAAAGAAAAGAAAAGGTAAACATTGTGAATAGTATTTTTGACACTAAGAAACCCATACATTAAAGATCCCAGTCTCACTCACATGGCAAACTGTTTTGCTATTGTGAATATTTCACTGTTAAGAAGGTTCAATTGCTTGCTTGTTTCACTAGAACTAAAATATAAATATTCATCAGTAAAACAAGCACCAGTGCATTCAAACCCTTGCTGTTCAAACTGGAGTTTGGGCTCTGCCACTTTAGCAGCTCCTGGGAGCAGAACGGAAATGAAGAATCTCAGCTCTCCTGCCCCTCCCAGACCTATTCTGTTTTAATTTGGTTTGTGCACTCTGAAGTCTGTGGACTGACACTGTAAATGCCCCACATTAGCCAGACAGCTGCAGAGGTCTGATAAGAACAAATGACACAATGATAATGGCGAATGACAGTGGCAGCCAATATTTCTGTGCACATTATTAACAAAATCTGCTTGACACGTAGAAGGAAATAAACAGCCCAGCAGGAACTGACTGTACCAGAGATAAACTTGCTTCAGGCACAGGATGAAGA